CACACTGTATAGATGTTCGCAAAAAGAAAAGGAGTACTTGTGGCACCTTAGAGACTAAACAATTTGTTTGAGCATGAGCTTTCGTGAGCTACAGCTCACTTCATCGGATGCATACCGTGGAAACTGCAGAAGACATTATATACACACAGAGACCATGAAACAAGACCTCCTCCCACCCCACTGTCCTGCTGGTAATAGCTTATCCAAAGTGATCATCAAGTTGGGCCATTTCCAGCACAAATCCAGGTTTTCTCACCCTCCGCCCCCCCCCCCCCCCACACACACACAAACTCACTCTCCTGCTGGTAATAGCCCATCCAAAGTGACCACTCTCTTCACAATGTGTATGATAATCCAGGTGGGCCATTTCCAGCACAAAATTGTGCTGGAAATGGCCCACCTTGATTATCATGCACATTGTAGGGAGAGTGGTCACTTTGGATAAGCTATTACCAGCAGGAGAGTGAGTTTGGGTGAGAAAACCTGGATTTGTGCTGGAAATGGCCCAACTTGATGATCACTTTAGATAAGCTATTACCAGCAGGACAGTGGGGTGGGAGGAGGTCTTGTTTCATGGTTTCTGTGTGTATATAATGTCTTCTGCAGTTTCCACGGTATGCATCCGATGAAGTGAGCTGTAGCTCACGAAAGCTCATGCTTAAACAAATTGTTTAGTCTCTAAGGTGCCACAAGTACTCCTTTTCTTTTTGTGAAGACAGACTAACACGGCTGTTACTCTGAAACCTGTATAGATGTTCTATTTGTAAAGGTCTCTCTCTCTCTCTTCTGATGAGCAGTGATCAGTTGAGTGTCGTATTATTGAATTACAAGGGAACTGGGGGGCAGACAGCTAGACCAAAGCTCACACTGAGTTACTTCACCTTTTAACTCCATCAGAAATGCCATCATTGACCATACTGTTTTGTGACAGAATCTATTATCTTCATGTTTCTCTTTCTGCAGTGAGCATGCTATGGCCTACCCGCTGTTCCTTTAGCGACTCTGCTGTGCAGAAAAGTGAAGCAAACGCTGGAGCTTACAAAGCGACTGAATGTAAGATTTTCCCACTTTATCTGACTTATTTTCATTGTGGTCAAGGAAACAAGACTGTACATTTATTTTGTAAACAAACAGAATTGCATCAAAATGTAAGGATGTGACTCACCACCTGGCATGCCCCCTGGTGGCTAGGAATGGCATAGCAAGCTTGCCTTATCATAGCATCTCTGTTGAAAGCTGCACTGGCCCTGTGGTGGTTTGCTTCTTTTTGTGACTTGGCTCTCAGGACAGGTCACACATTGTTCCACCCTTCTGGCATAAACCAGTAGTCCAATCCCTGATAGTCCTTCAACTTCATGTTGGACCATTAGTCCAAGCCCAAAGTGTTTTTGCTGCCCCAAACTCGCCGCCAAACGGAGAGGCGGAATCCTGCCCACCGAACAGAGGCGGAGTGATGGTGCAGCCACCGAATTGCCGCTGGCGACCAAAGAAGAGTCGCATCCCCACCGCCGAGGGCGGATTGCCTCCCCAGAGCCCGACGTCCTGCCGCCCCTTTACATTTGCCGCCCCAGGCACCTGCTTGGTTCGTTGGTGCCTGGAGCTGGCCCTGAAGCCCAGACTATCTTTACTCCTGGTTTCAGTAGTCCTAGCTTCTTGTTGGAGGGCTTCTGCTCCACCTTCCTCAGTGAGCTGGAGGGGATCCCAAAGCCATCCTCTCCACTGGGTTTGAATAGGCAGTCAAGACCTGATTACACAGCCCTCCTTGCTGTCCCCCGGACCACTTTCTACCTTTCTCTGTCTTGGTTCTTTGCCTCAACGTCTTTCTGGGCTCCTGGTGTACACACTCCACTCTTTCTACCTTCCACCATTTCACTGCTTAGCACTTTCTGTTACCCAGCTGGTTCTGCAGCAGGAGAGTTTTCTCCATTTCCCTTGCGGGGCAATACCTGATTCAGCTGGAATCTTCCTGCTCACTGCAGGCCCACAACACAAAATCCTGGGCAGACTCACTTCTTGCCACTTTCTTTCCCAACTGCCTTGGGATCCCTGTTGCAGACGTGCCTTTGTTCTGGGAAGCTCTGTCTGCCAGCTGACCCACTCAGCTTCCTGACTCCAGCCTGACTTTTTTCCCTGACTGAGAGGCAGAAATCTGCCCTTCTTCCTGGTCAGGGCCTAACTGAGCTGGGTTCAGACCTTTTTCCTAGTCTGATACTTCGTGCAGGTGTAGTGGGGTGAGGACAGCTGCACCACAGGCTCTTGTTCACCCCCTCAAGCCCATTGTGGACTTGGTATATCGCATCATACAGAGAAATACCTGTCTCCATCATCAGTTTCTCCTCCTAATGGAAACCATCTGGAAGACCTTAAGTATTGGCTCAGTGCTCAGGTCAAAAAGATCACAATAATAATAATAATATAAACTAATGATAATATTTTCCTAGTTGTCATTAAGTTGTCATTCTTCATATGTGCAGTACAAATTATGGGCCAGTTCTGCTTGCATTAAATTAGTGGAAAATCTCCAATGTATTTAGCAATACAGTCAATTGGAATAATTTTGTAGCAAAGGCTGGAGAGGGGTGAATATATTGGAACATGAATCTGAGGTAAGTTGTTTGTGCACTGAAATAAACAGTTCTACAATGCTTTCTAAGAACAATTAGTGTTTAGCAATGGAATCTCATTACAGTGACTTAATCTTAAATCTTTGCTAAGAAGAATGGAGACATTTTCTGTGCAAATTATGTAGTGTGTGGATTAGCTATGTGTGATTTAGCAATGGCTCTCCAGTATGTGTTTGGTACTACCTCAAACATGCTGAATGGAGGAAAGAAAGCAGCTTTCATGTCAGATACAGATTTCCAAGACAAGTAGCTGAAATGTAAAACAGCATATATAAAACTCAGAATATTTAAAATAATCACATCCATATCTTTGAGTGTCACAGAGATATACATACAATTTCCTGGTGAATCATTCAAAATACTTAGTAGCAGTTTTTAAATGGCTATAGTACATAAAAATGAAATTTGCTAAGGGTAACAACTATTATATATTTTCTTGTTACAGGTATAAAAATGATTTATTAATACTATCCCTTGCTTTGCATGAGATTTTTTTTTATTATTCCAAGTGAGATAATGTATCCATGGTCTGTTAATCTTATTTGATTTTTTTCCCTTTGTATTAATGCTCAATTATAATAACATTTTGTTTTGCATCTGACTCCTTACAATCTAATACAGAATCCAAAAAGCACTATTAATAGTTCAATCAATTTCTAAGTGCATGTATTTCCTCTAGGTACTGATCTAATTGCAATCATAGAAGACATTAAAGGAACATGCAATAAGAATGGGAAAATTGTATAACTTAGAGTGCCAGGGACAATGAATAAACATGTATATGATTCTTCTAAGTGCTTTTGGAATGAAAGTCTATTAATCCACTTACCTGTTGAATGACTCAAAACACAAGGAAATAAATTTTCCGATCCACCGTTAGGAGCTTTATGAATGCATATGGGAATGCTACCACAAATGCAGGAAATCAGGACTCATCATAGTTATTTTTAGTTAAATGTTAGGCTGAAATTTTTAATGAGGATACTTAAAATCAAAAACAATCTCTAACAGTCACTTAAACAGCTAACTAGTAGTAAAATTATATCTGTTCAAAATGGATCCCTCTCCCTTCAGAGTAATAGACCATCTAGCCCCCAAATGAAAAAAAGCCATCATATGACCCACTCAGTTGAGATTCATTTCCACCAGCCTAAGCTCCTCAACTAGCCCTTTTCCCCCCTGCAATAATTCAGCCACAAAAAGGGTTACCTGAAATCTGTGCATGATACTGTTGCTCTTCAATGCTGAGCATTGGAAGATGCTTTTCAGATTGGCTTTCTACTGCAAGACAAATCAACTAGATGGAGTCTGGAAATCATCTAAATGTAATTTTCTTTATTTACACAAATACCAGTCCAGGGACAGAGATGGTCACAAATAGCTATGGAGTCCATCCCCCACTCCACAGAGCAGCAGTAGTGCTTTGAAATCTGTTCCTGCCTCCAGAGCCCTGATTGTCTAAATGGTTGGTAGACTGGAGAAACTGGCTTCTCCACCTGTACAGAGCCTTTGTTGGCTAGAGAGCTCAGTTCACATAAAATCCTGTCCCTACTTCCTGGTTCCCCAGCTCTTCTCTGGTTGGAGTAAAGGATTTTTATTCCTCAATGGGATTGTGTGGGCTGAAGGAGGGGGGCTGCAGGGACAAAGCAGGTGAAGAGTCTGAAATCAGGGCTGGGAGACGGATCAAGGGAGCAACCTGAGTGTGGGGACCACCTGAGACTGCATTGCACATGTGGATTGGCCAGAGCCCAAAGGGAAAGAGGGATTTTAATCTAGGACTAAGGACTCACGGCTGGATGGGCTGTGAAGACTGTTAATAAAGGAGGCAGTTCCTTTTAGGCATCTGAGATATATTATACACTCCCACTGGGTGACTGTTTGCTGGGGTCCTGTACATCCTAGTAAAAGTGTTGTGAGAGATCTGTGCATTGAAGTGATTCCTTTGTGAACTCTTACCTCCCCAAAGAGATTGGAACCCTGAAAAAGAGGGGACCCGCCACCATACAGTATGCAAACAATGAGTTCTTTGAGGAATGTTAGCCCAACACCAGTGCTTAGTTCCCAGAAAGCAACTCTGAATCAAGAATCAACTCCAGTCAGAGACCAGTGCAAACTGTCCTGCTGCTTGCACAGATCCCTCTACCCAGAATCTTGCATAGTCAAAACTAACATTAAGCATATCTTTCCAAGACTGCATCTTGTTCACATGCTAAGAAAGAGAACTTGAAACACTAAGTTTAGCAGCTCTACCCAGTGACACTAGCTGCTATGAAACATGCCCATGAATATCTGTAATCATCTACATGTTTCATTCTGTCTTCCGAAATATGATTTATGTGCTTGACTTTTGAGACAGGATTAGACAGTTTCAACACCTTTGTGTACAGAGAGAGAGACAACACACTGAGACTGAGTGGCTCTGCCTGACCAAACAATGGAGTAGCAGTCTCCTGGATAGGCCCTGATGGATAATCCTTCTGACTAGAACAAAAACTGTTTGAGCAGTGTGAGTTAGAGAACCATACTGAGAGACGCACGACTCACAGGTAAGAGGGGGAAAGGGGAGAAGAACAGCAGAGCATGTCGTGAGTGGCTCTCCGGGTGGGTCATAGGTATAGTTGGGATTGCTAAAGAATGTAAGTTGGTTAAGCTGTGTTCCTGTAATTTAAAAGGAAAGCCTGTCCACCTTAGTTTATAGTGAAGCATACGTTTAATTGAGAATAAATATGCACATAGGCTGTTTGTTGTTTTAAAATCCTCACATTTTCTCATGCTTTGTTCCAAATACAAAATAAAATACTTTGTTTTAAGAAGGCTGTTGGTCAATATTGCTGGTCACAGCTGCCCAAAGGGAAGAAATGTGAGTGCCTGTTACCCAGCCTGATGACAAGCAATTGGAATATAAAATAAACTAGTAATTATTCTTTATTTGGATTCAGAAATTGGTGTTCTATGAACTGCAGTCTGTGTCAATTTATTTTTTCACCTTCCCCTAGCTGATACATGCTGCTGGCATTACAGACCTTATCCAATGAGCCTGAAGTCATTGGAAAGAATGCCATTGACTTGAATAGGTTTTGAATCAGGAACTATTTCATTTTGTTGACCAACAGGTAAGTGCTTCAATTGTAAGACAGGATGATGCATCTCTCATTTTCTTTGTTCTCTAATTGTCTGGATTTGCTCTATTAGCTGTGAGTTTCCATCTGAAGCATCTTTACTGTTAGCGTATTGGCATTCACGATAATGTTTTTAGGCCCAATTTTCCCAAAGAGTCCTAAATTCTCATTTTGTGCCCTCATTCAATTGTAGGCCCATATGACAACATATAGATGTCCACCTGATTTATGGGAACAAAATAGTCCCCTATCTAAATTCTATGATTTGTGCGAACAATTGATTGAGCCTGTACTACATGTGCAAAATTGTGGCTTCAAAATTATATGCTAGTTTTGAATATCTGGCCCCTGAAGTCATCTACACTGGTAAGTAATGGTCACACAATATCATTAAGCTCTGTTGCCTTGTTTTCATTTTGATTTTCATTATTATATACATCAGAATAAATGAAAAAGCCAAAGAGACTTTCAAAACATGTCCTCACGGTACAGTCTTTATTAGAGTTCTACGCAAAACCTTACAGCCAGATTACATGAAGAAGATTTGAGTCCCTGCTCCAGATCAGAGACTTGAACCTAAGTATCCTAAATTCCAAGATAGGACCTTACCCACCAGTCCCACTGGATATTGTGGGGTAGCTTTATCCCAGTCTCTCTAGTTTTGTTTTGTTTTTGTTTTTTTTCACATGCAGAAACTCAAACTATCTCATTTTTGGTCTGCATTGGAATGATAACTGATTTCAAATCATTGACATTTTCCACAAAATTGAAATGTTGTTTTCCAGCCAGCCCTAGTAGTGACTCTTGTGGTTTCATTCCATTTCAGAAAGTTGTATGTGGTTAAAAAAAGATTAACCAGCAATTTTCTTGGCTCAGCTGGTTAATGTTGAGGGACTTGCTGCCTGGCTAAAAGTTGTTTGTCAAATTTTAGATTATGTGCATTGCTGGACTCCTACCTCTAGTTGGCCAACCAGGAGGGTGAGAGCAGCATAACCTTTTGATCAGGGATGGTGGCATTACATGTCTGAAGGCAAAAAGTAGTCTTTCACCTGGAATGGGTTCGCCCCGAGAGAGGGGCCCGAGCCTTGGAAAGCATTGCAGTTCCGGCAGCGTCCAGTGAGCTCTCGCTGGCCCTTGAAAATCTGGGGGAGATGGTGTAAATCTCACGCTGGGTCGTACCCATATCGGCAGCAGGTCTCCAAGGTGAACATATTATATTTCCTTCATATTATAAAGATGATGGCCTGATTAGTTCCTCCCTCTTCAAATCCTCCTCAGGAGTTTCTCGACAAATCAGAATGGGTATTTTCTCTTCTGAAATCACTGGTATGACCAAGTGGGATTTGGTTAGGTCATCTTATGCAAACAAAAATCCTTCCTTTCCAGTTTGAAAAGTTCCCAAATTACTTTAGAAATTTTAGACATACCGAGTCCATTAGAATTGTGACGTTCACACCAGTGTCTCTTCGTCATAACAAGGCCTCCAACAAAAATTCCAACAGAACACCGCTTATTCTGAAATAAGTCAGAAAAAAATAGAAAACTAGTAAAAAAAATAAAATTGAAATAATAGAAAACAATCACTCAAGCTCAGTCATGAACACAAAGGAAAATCCCTTATTTTATAGGCTAAGCAGTTGTTCTTCAATTCCACACACAGATGTCTAATTTTCCTCTTCATAATTTTGGTACTTGGCACCTATCCACAGTTCAACTTTGAACTGGAGTGAAAAGGTTGGGCTCTAGTGAAGGATCAGAGTAAAGGTCTTTTACTCTAAAAATAATCATATTGGCTTCAATTTTTATATAGACCTCTGTGCCTTACACCCCACTGATTTCACTGCCATGGGGGAAAATGCTTTAAAACTATTTTATACTATTTTTCCTGCTGCTAGTATTCAATAGTAATACCTGCCTAAATTGTATCACTTGTGCCTTCAATTCTTTGTGAGTAAAAACCTGCATGTGAAAAGTTAGAGGATATTTACAAATCTGGTTCTCTGAAGTCTTAATTACATACGCCTCAGCTGACTTAAATTAAACTCAAAATTACAATATTTGATGAGGATAACAACACATTTATGTGTCTCCATTTTTGTATTGTTTTGAAAATCTAGTAGATAAGCACAGTCATTCTGCAACTAAGATGTAATTTTTGTTTATTTGTCTCATCTCAGCCATTCCTGGAAAATGAAATCCTGTTCAGACAAGCAACTAACATGTATATGTAACCTGGAGATCTTTAGGCAAATTAAAGGGGTTCCATTTTCACCATGAGCAATAAGTTACTTTTCTCTGTGGCAGAAATAAAGTTAAAATCCTACCCTGGGCTTTTATCTCCGCTTAAATGTTGGACATGATGCATACCATCTTCCAGGGTGCCAAATAAAAAGGAAAAGATATCCAGTTTTGATCAACATTAATAATGTCCCAGGGACATAGTTAGCTATTTGTGTTGGCAAAATACCATATTGCCATATGATACAGCACTACCATCAAAATGCTTTTTCTCAGTATTCTGTTTAGAAAACATTACATTGCAGTTTCCAGTGCAACCACCAGCCGGCACTGGGGTCAAATCTTTCATAACTAACCTGAGCTTTTTATCCTAGCAATGGGATAAATAGTTTTGCCCTTTCTACAACAAGTGGTGAAAACACAGGAGTACGCCACCCTCCGTCCCCTCACAGTCCTTACCCTCATATTTCCCTTTCTGGTTGGTATTCACATCACCTTTCAGGTGTTCCTCTGTCCTCTTTTTGACTAATCTACTTATTCTTGCTCTGAAATTGCCAACTGCTTCACAACTGCAGAGCTAGCAAACATCTGAACCTGCTCAACAAAGGAGGTCTCCTTGTCTGGAGGAAATGAAACACTGAGTGATGGCCAGGAACAATTTGTAAGATAAATACTTGTAACTAACAGGCTAACTGCAGCTCCAAATATCCTAGTGAAGTGGGTTCAATAACTTGTGGTGGCCCATTTGAGGGATACATTTCCCATTATATCTTAGAGATAAAAATCGACTTTTTTCAACAACAGCACCTTTCCTGGTTTTCTATACCCAATTGAAGTGGCTTCAGCCATACTCAGGATATACTGAAAGAATATACTGAAATACATAGTAAATAATGTGCTTGTAGTAATGTATACTTAAATATATGCTATTCGTATACCCAAAGCCACACATAGCTTACAGAAATGGGCATTTCATTATAAAATTGCACTGCAGGAGAAACAGAGCTTCGGCTGACAAAATAATTATGTGTTATGCTTTTCACATTAAGGGAGATTGTAGTGCTCCCACTCTTTATATAAAACATATATGTATACATAGGCATGGACTACCTGCATTGTGGGTGATAGTGAGGTGAAGGGGTAGAGAAGAGGTCTGAGAGTAGTTTCCCTGGGGCTGTTACTTCTCTCCTGGTGAAGGTGAGAAGGGAGGGTGGATAGGCAGGGGTGCAGAATGGGTAGAGCCTTATCTAAAGCCACAAGGGAATCAGGGCTGAAAAGTGACATTGAGTCAGAGTTCAGTCTCTGCTCTGCTCCTGGGGCAGCTCAACTATGAGTACCTTAGTCACAGTTTGTGTTTGCTACTGGCAGTGATACCCATTTTAATGTATGTGTGGCAATATAATAAACAGGTTTCTTTAGTATCATACCCCAATGATACTAGAGACACATCACACCTCACTCAGACATTTTCAGAACAAACTATTGCTTATGAATCCTAAGTGATTAATATCCAAAGGAAGCTAGATGAACCCTATTTATTTTATTAATATATCTGTATTACACCTCCACCATCACTGTACTTTGTCCTTTCAAACATCATTTACATAAAACTTAGCTTATTGTCTTAGAAAAAAATAGGCAAGCAAGCATCTACATAAAAGCCTTTATTGCTGGTGTTCATTATTTTAACGCATGATACTGATAATCGGTGAAATACAATCTCAAATATATCAAATACGTTTAGCTATTTGCTGCATCTAATTAGAGACCTGAACATTATTAATATGCAAATTGAAAAGTTTTAATGCATAGCATTACCCTAAAATCTATTTAAAATGTCCAAATGTATCTCTTCAGAATATTGGCCCATATTATCTGTATCACTTTTTTTAAAGAATGTATAAAAATAAAGAAGTTGGTTTCCCCTTGGAACGAGAGCTGTGTATCACATTATATTTCCTTCTGGGTTAAGAAGGCCAGACATGACTCTTGTTGAAAACCATCAACACTGCTTGTTGCGCTGAGTCTCCACTAGTGATCTCGTGAAAGTGTTCCCTTTTCCACCCAGAATTCCCTTCACAGTGCTCCTAGTTTGAGATGGGGGCACTCCAAATAATGGCTGGAATTTGCAACAGGTTTGGTAATAAAATTTGTGTTTAAGAAACTGATGGCCCAATTCTGCTTGTATTGAATCTAATGGAAGCAGGAGCTCTATTATCCCTAATAATTTACCAATAACTACCTTTGTGATTATGGAAATTTGGATAAAAGGAATCAGATCTCATGGTTCATGGCTCAACCTGACCAGGAGGGGCATTTTCAATCCTATGTATGTTGCATGTAATCAAGTAGCTCACCTTTCCTGGATTCCGGTCATGTGTCTTCCTCCATTTCCCTTTTCCATGTTTGATTCATTGTCTTCCCCTGCTCAGGATCCCAGAATGGCTAGGTTAGGGTTAGTGTAACCCTTCAATTAGGGCATATTGAGTATAGTTCTGCTACCCTTTAGTCATACAGTAAGGATAACAACATTTCATTACTTCTGCACCCAAGACTTAATTGAATTTTAACCCAATCAGCCAAAATTGGTCACTTTGGCAAAGCAGATGATCACCTAGGCAAAATAGGTTTAGCTAGGCATATACTGTCTGCTCCTTCAGTCTTTTCCACCAGCTGATCAATAGATGGTAGGGGAGACATGATTCAGACCACTGACTTATATCCCATGTACATACTTGTGTCCAATATCTTCAACT